AAAAAGTTCCCTTCCACTAAGTTAGGAGTTAGAGGTGGTGAATTTCCTTAAGACATACATCAGTTGTTCCAAAAAGGCCTATGGGTTTTCATCTTTCTCTTGAGTAACAGTGGCCTATTCAGTATAATTCACAGGCTTCTGGTGAGTACATAAGCACCTGCTAAGCAGCCGGACATACGGCAGCAGCTCTGGTTCCTTTGGTAGTTCTGGGAGGACCGTAAGGCAGAGCCAGGCACTTCCCACTGAGGTTCACCCTCAGGAACAGCTTGATCGCCTGTTGGGTAACTAGCCCTTTCAGCTGGTGACATGGGGTCACTTGATTCATGTACCAATTGTCCCCATAAACTCTGGGTGCTGCCAGGGTCACATGATGCTTGGTCAGAGTTAGGGTTTGACTTAGCAGTAACATCATATGTGTGAACTAAAATAAAATCTTACGCTTTCCCCTCAGCGCAGACTGACTGGATCCCCTCTTGACCAAGAGGATCCCTAAAACTGAGTTGCTTGGCAGGAGAGGAGATCTTCAGACAGGCCTCCTCGTCCCCCCTCCCCTTCTAGAGATGTCCTTGGTGCTCATCAACAGGGGTGAGGCCAGGTAAGACCTTCCTACAGGTCCTCAACATACACAACAAACCACTGGGGACTGAGCATCTGTGTTTGCCTTGGATTACCACACCCTGATCTGAAGCTCTCCTTTCACAGCTCCTGGTCTATTGGACAGAGCCTAACTTTTTCAGCCAACTGTGAACCAAAGATTCTTTAAATCTACCCATCACTTTTAATCCCCCCCATTTCCAGATGTTCCATCTTTGGGGGCCAAAGCAATGTGTGTTTAACACCTAGTGACTTATGACCTCACCTATAATCCCTGTCTCCCTAAAATGTATAAAACCAAACCATAACCCCACCACTATGAGTCCCCATGCTAAGGCTTCTTGGGTGTGGCTCTGGGTCGTGTTCCTCAATTTTGGCTCAGAATAAACCTTCTTAACTTATTTTACTGAATATGGCTTCTTCTTTCTTCTTCTTCTTTTTTTTTTAGAGACAGAGTCTCACTTTATTGTCCTCTGTAGAGTTCTGTCACATCACAGCTCACAGCAACCTCCAGCTCTTGGGCTTAGGCAATTCTCTCGCCTCAGCCTCGGCCTCCCAAGTAGCTGGAACTACAGGCACCCCCCACAGTGCCCGGCCATATTTTTGTTGCAGTTTGGCCAGGGCCAGGTTTGGACTCACAACCTTTGGTATATGGGGCCAGTGCCCTACCCACTGAGCCACATGTGTCACCCACTGAGTATGCCTTCTTTTCTATCAACATATCTTTCTAAGTTGGCTGGCACCTGTAGCACAGTGGTTATGGCACCATCCATATACACCAAGGCTGGTAGGTTCCAACCCAGCCTGGGCCAGCTAAACAACAATGACAACTACAACAAAAATTAGCTGGGCATTGTGGCAGGCGCCTGTCATCCCAGCTAGTTGGGAGGTTGAGGCAAGAGAATGGCTTAAGCCCAAGAGTCTGAGGTTGCTGTGAGCTGTGACACTCCAGCACTTTACCAAGGGCAACATAGTGAGACTATGTCTCAAAAAACAAAACAAAGCAAAACACAACATATCTTTCTAAGTTAAATCATCAGTTTGGACAAATGTTTGGACTTCAATATATTTGTCAGGATCATAAGAAAATTTACCTAAATAACTTTTATGTTATTTTTGAGATAGAATCTTACTATGTCACCCTTAGTAGAGTACTGTGGGGTCACAGCTCACAGCTGTGGGCTTAAGCAATTCTCTTGCTTCAACCTCCCAAGTAGCTGGGACTATAGGCAGCTACCACAATGTCTGGCTATTTTTAGAGACGGGGTCTTGCTGTGGCTCAGGCTAGTCTCGAACCTGTGAGCCTAGGCAATCCACCCCCCTGGGCCTCCCGAGTGCTGGGATTGCAGGTGTGAGCCACCCGCCTGGCCGCTAAATCACTTTTTTTTTACAATCTCCTTTGTGGCATCTTTATTTTTCTACCTAGGATATGAACACAGGTCAGAAGAAACAGCTGCACTGAAACACGTCAGCCAGTTGTAAACCAGGAAGACAGTGGATGGATGTGGAGGGGGTTGAGGTGACAATTCCAGATCAGCATCTCCCAAACGGCTACTGGTCCAAGCCCTCAAGCAGAGGGTGCTCTGGGGAAGGAGAGGCAGGACCATGCAGAGCAGGCTCTGGAGAGGAGGGACAAGAGGCAGTGGTCACCACAGGGGCTGCAGCTGAGGTGAGCGTGTTAGATTACGGCCTCGTACTCCCGTTTGATGAAGTTGATCAGCTCATCAGTGGAAGACTCATGCGAGGTTACTGGAGTGCTGCCATCGAGCTTAGGCTCTATCTTCTTAGCCAGCTGCTTTCCCAGCTCCACTCCCCTCCGGTCAAAGCTGTTGTGTCCCAGATGATGCCCTGAACAAAGATCTTGTGCTCGTTCATGGCGATCAAGGCTCCAAGGATGAATGGTGTGAGCTTCGTGAACATGATAGGGTTGGCTGGGCGATTTCCTTCAAAGACCTTGTGCAGCAGCAGCTTCTCCAAGTCCTCTGGATTATTTCCTGCGGTATGGAGTTCCTTCCAGGCTTCATCTGTAGATTTCGGCTTCATCAGGGCTTCTGTCTGGGTCAAGAAATTGGACAGGAGGATCTTGTGATGCAAACCCTTCTGTTCTGGGTGCTGGGTCTGGACCAGAACGAGAAAGTCACAGGGTATCATCTAGGTGCGTTGGTGGATGAGCTGGTGGAAGGCATGCTGGCCATTGGTCCCTGGCTCCCCCCACACAGTGGGGCCCGTCTGGTGGTCCACACGAACACTGGACTTGGTGATGTACTTCCTGTTGGACTCCATGTTACCCTTGAGTGGGGACAGAAACATAGCCCTCTACTTGCTGGAAGTAAGCAGCAAGGCGGTGCAGGCACTGGCCGTAGGGCAGCATGGTGTGGGTCTCAAACCCAAAGCAGCTGATGTACCAGACGCCCAGCAGGGCCAGCAGCACAGGGGCATTCTTTTCCAGAGGCTTCGTGTGAAAGTGCTGGTCCATCCAGTGAGCCCCTGAGAGCAGCTGCTGGAAGTTGCCAAAACCCATGTGCAGGGCAATGGAGAGTCCGATGGCTGACCAGAGGGAGTGGCGTCCTCCCACCCAATCCCAGAACTCAGACATTTTTGCACGGTCCATCCCAAACTCCTTCACTTTGTCTGTATTGGTGGACAGGGCAACAAAGTGCTTTGCAACTGTTGAGGGATCCTCGGCTGTCAGGAGAAAGCACTCCTTCACTGTTCCTGCATTTTTTTTTTTTTTTTTTTTTTTTAGACAGAGCCTCAAGCTGTCCCCCTGGGTAGAGTGTCGTGGCATTACAGCTCACAGCAACCTCCAACTCCTGGGCTCAAGCGAGTCTCCTGCCTCCGCCTCCCAAGTAGCTGGGACCACAGGCGCCCGCCACAACGCCCGGCTATTTTTTGGTTGCAGCCGTCATTGTTGTTTGGCGGGTCGGGCTGGGGATTCGAACCCGCCACCTTAGGTGTACGTGGCTGGCGCCTTAGCCGGTTGAGCTATAGGCGCCGAGCCGTTCCTGCATTCTTGATGGTCTCCTGGGTGGTACACGTCTTGGAGGCAATGATGAACAGGGAAGAATCCGGGCTCAGGTTGGCCAGGGTTTTGAAAATGTGGGTTCCATCAATGTTGAAGACAAACCAGAACCGGGGGACCCTCTGAGGAGTATGGCTTGCAGGCTTCAGTCACCATGAGGGGCCCCAGGTCGGAGCCTCTGATGTCAATGTTGATGACGTCCATGACAGCCTTGCCTGTGTACCCCTTCCATTCACCACTCTGCACACGCTGGCAGAAAGTTTGCATCTTGTCCAGGACTCTGTTGACCTCTGGCATCACATCCTGGCCATCCACCAGAATGGGTGTGTTTGGTTCGGCAGGGCCACGTGTAATACTGGCGGATCCTCAGTATAATTGATCTTGCCATTGCGCATGCGCTCCCAGGCAGCCTCCACACCCCTGGACTTGACCAGGTCCACCAGGATCTTCATCACCTCCTCCGTCACAAGGTTCTTGGAGTAATCCACCAGAATATGCCCATGGTTGGTGTTGAGGTGTTGAAATGGCTGAAGCGCTCCTTGTTGGCTTCGAGAAGGCTGCGCAGGTGGAGCTGGGAGCCGTGCTCGCGGTACCGCTGCTGCAGCTTCTGGCACTGTGGTCTGGGTGAGCGCGGCCATCGCGGGACTAGAAGGTTGCGCTGACCCGGACATGGGCGGAGCAGGAACGAGGCGGGCGGCCGGCGGGGCTAAATCACTTTTAATTTGCTTCAGATCAGGTAAAGAAAAAGGAACATGCGTGCGGGAGGGAATTAACCAGTCACTACCTGCATAGGCACAAAGACTGGTATAAACCCAGAAGGAAGTTTCCAGGCAGGCACCTGAGTCTCAGTTACAGGTCGGGTGAGGCGGAGGCGAGCTCGAAGCAGGGGCCGCTGCGAAAGTGGTGGGTAGGGGGGCACCTATGGCCCTCCGTTTCCTTCCCAGTGGGGTGTAAGCCTTATTATTTTTTAACATAAAGCGGCATTTTCCTCAGGGCAAAAAAAAAAAAATTCTTTTTAAACAAATGGGACCTCACTCCAGTTACCTAATTTTCTGCAAAACAAATCCAGTTGCAAAATGGCGTGATAATTAACACTCCCTGTTTAATTAACACCGCTTTAAATAAACACCGGTGTTTAATTAACACCGCTTCTCCCTGTCCCTGGAGTTCTGCGGCCACGCCTCAGTGCAGAGCAGCTGCCTTTTCTTATACGTTTCGGGGTCCAGGAGCTCCCAGGGCTTCAGCCTGCAGCCTCGGGGGAAGTCTCGTCCGTCCGGTGGAGGAAGAGTTTCTCACCTATAGGAAGAACATCGGACAGACGCCGTTTGGGGCGCACGTCCTCCTCCCCGACCCCCGGACGCAGAGGGAGTGGAGCCGGCTGATGAGCGCCCCGCGGCCCACCCCCCCCGCCTCCCCCGGCCCTGCTCTCCGCCGTCCCCCTGGGGGGCGTGGAGGGGGGGAGCAGCCTCCGCGGGAGACCCGAGGCCCGGTGTGCGGACCTCCCTCCCAGGGCTGCGACCCTAGACAGGACTCCATTTTATCCGTGTGCGTATCATCCAATTACAGAATTCCCGGCACGGATCGGTGTCCTGGTGGTAATTTGCCTGAAGAAGGAAAGCGCAACACTCTGGAGGGCAGAGGGCGCATCCCGAGAGCCCTGGGTTTCCTGTGCCGCCCGCCAGGCGTGGCGACTGAGGGGCAGCGTGGTCGGCGGGTACCTGGGGGCCCGCCCGTCGAAGGTGCACCGGGCGTCTCGGAGGACGCGTTCTTACAGGTCAGAGGGCACGCCACCGTCCGCCCAGCTGTCCCGGATTAAACAGGCGACAGTGTTCACTGGGGGAGTGGGATGAACACAGCGGGGGGTGGGGGATGGAAAAGCCAGCGCGCCAAGACCCTCTAGGGCGGGAAGGAGCGGGGACCGCGCGCCCTCGGCCCGCCTGGTGCAGGCGGGGCGGAAGGAAGGGACCCTCCAACTCTCTATGTTGGAAAAAGGGAAGCGAAAACGCCCCCACGCCTCACCCGGAGTCTGTCACCCACCTAAACGCCGCGACAGGCAGCAGGAGAGCGCGCGCCTCTGGGGAGCACAGGACCCAGGTCATTCCCACGCTGAGTCCCCAAGAGACAGCTGGGCTGGTGACGTCGCGACCCAACTCCTGGAAATCGGGCTGTCCTGGCAGCGAAGAGGGATGGGAGCATAAACAATAACAATAACTAAAGAAGTAGGAGGTCGGGATGACTCACAGTGGTGAGTCCAAAACACGGAGTCCGCAGTGAGCGTCTGTACAGCCGAAGATTGCTCTTCCTCGCCCGGGCACCCAAGATGAAACGCGGGGCACCTCCCTCTGAGTTCCTGCTGAGTCCCAGCGATGCAAAAAATAATTAGCAGAGGAAGGCGTTTATTGAAAGAAAACAGCTCCAGCATGGAGGGGAGGTTGAAACAACTCACCCTTCTCTGTGGTTATTCCTTTACGTGTAGGCTGTGTTTCATCCCCTTCCAATCAGATTCCTATTCCATTCAGTCATTCCTCCAACGAACCCACTGGGGCCCTTTGCCCTCAGAGCACTGCCTTACGGCAGCCAGTTCCCTCTTAGTCACAGTGGTTGACTGTTTGCCTCAGGAAGTCTGGAAGGTAGTCATAACCTCCAGGGTGGTCACACAGGTAATCTAAATATACCTTAACTAAGCAGGAAAACTGGAACCTGCATGCTTCTGACCCATACAACTACTATGTTACATAGGTGGCAAAGGGGACAGCAGATCTGAGATGGAGTCACTGTGGCTATACCTAGCTCCATAACCAAGGCCACAGGGCCTCATCCTTCAGGAGTACAGGCTCAGTAATCTGGCTACTATGCTGGACACATGCTCAGGACTCTTCCCTCCAAACAAATGTCTCTCCCTGGCCTTGCTCACACCTGGGTTGCTTGAGCTCAGGAGTTGGAGACCAACCTGTGTTGGAGCCGGGATGCTAGGTCACTGGCCCCAGCCCGTGAAACTGCCAGGACGCAGACCACTGTACAAGCTTGCTCAGGGTATGGCTCCCCATAAGTGCCGGGGACCCCGTTGTCTCAGTCAGGTAAAGCTCCCAATCAGGAGGAGCCAATTGTCTCAGTGAGGTCAGAGGTGCCAGAGTGCCTCAAAGATGCAGCAGTCAGTCTTAGTGGGAGCCTCGACTAGCTTCTTCTGTGGCTGTTTATATTTATACCACCACTGTGATGACTGCCGAGCAATGATATATGTACCTGGGTGCTCTAGTGCCTCTTAATGAGAGACCAATCCCTTCCCCATTCCCTTTTTACCAACGTGTTTCTTTTCAGGTGTCTCCTACAAGCCTGAACAAGAATGAGACCTCGTTTCTACAAAAAATAGAAAAATTGAGCAGCATGTGTGGCTCAAGGAGTAGGGCGCTGGCCCCATATACTAAAGGGGGAGGGTTCAACCCCAGCCCTGGCCAAAAACTGCAAAAAAAATTAAAAAAAAAAAAGAGGTAGAGGTTTGTTCCAGCTGGCAGAGCAACTGCAGACCAGAGTCCAAAAGGGCCACACTCCCTGACTGGCTCAGCTTCCTCCTTTTATCTCCAGTCAAAAATTCTGGCCCTTTCTTATTGATCAGTTTGAATCAAGCTGGAGAAGCGGGCTCCAGCTTTTACAGAACCGTGGACTTTACAGAAGTCTTAGTTTCTAGGTCCCAGGAAGTTTCTACTGCCTCCTAAGAGCTGAGAGGCCATGGGGGAAGACCTGGCAGGCGTGTCCTTGGGCCTTCTTGAGAGACCTCATTCTCTTAGACCTCACTTTTTCCTGGTATCTTCTCTCAACATGGCCACTCCTGGCTCGGCGCCTGTGGCTCAAGTGGCTAAGGCGCCAGCCACATACACCTTTAAGGTGGCGGGTTCAAATCCAGCCTGGGCCTGCCAAACAACAATGACGGCTGCAACCAAAAAAAATAGCTGGGTGTTGTGGCAGGCACCTGTGGTCCCAGCTACTTGGGAGGTTGGGGCAGGAGACTAGCTTGAGCCCAGGAGTTGGAGGTTGCTGTGAGCTGTGATGGCACAGCACTCTACCCAGGGGGACAGCTTGAGGCTCTGTCTCAAAAAAAAAAAAAAGGCCACGCCTACCTTCACAGTAGGCTGAGTAAGTGAGTGATTTATCTTTTCCAGCCTCCACAAAGGAAGGCAGCCGGGGACAGGGACTTGGGAAAGGCAGATAGGTCAGTCAGCTTGTAATGGTGCCTGCCATATCTTCCCCTCTGCACCCCACCACTCACAAGGCCCTGCCCTCCAGTCACACTGACCTCCACCCTCATCCCATGGCCACCTGTTTCCCTTTGGATACCAGCAGCTGACAATGCTGGGGCTGCACTTCCACAGGCCACTGATCTGCTGATGCTGAGTAGGGCTGCCCTTGTAAGTAGGACACGACTCGGTGTCTCACACTTGACCATTTTGTTGGTGTTGGTAATTGAACCCCTATATCAGTGTATTTCTTTTCCCCCTCCTGCTCTCATTTCAGGGAATTAACACACAAAAATGTCCCTTTTATGTATTTCATGCTGCAAAAATTTCCCTTTGACCATTGACCCCAGGCACCCAGTTCTCGCTGTGGGTAGATCAATCCCTGTGAGCCTTTAGAGACATTTCATGTACATTCAGGCAAATCTAACTATAACGTTTTTTAAAAACTCCCCTCCTTTTTACACGCAAATGTGTGCATATACACGTACTACATACTGTGATGCACTCGGTTTTTTTATCCCTCCACTTATAATACCTAACATTCTATTGTGGAGACCACTTCCTATCTAGAATAGGGACTTTCTCCATCTATCCACAAGACTTTCTTCATATAGAAAGAGATTTGCGGCTCGGCGCCTATAGCTCAACCGGCTAAGGCGCCAGCCACGTACACCTAAGGTGGCGGGTTCGAATCC